TATTTTTAATATGTACTTAAAAGGAACAATTATATAAAGTGTAACTTCTTTTAAGATGATTTTAAAAGACTTAATATTTAAAATTATTTGTTGGGTGCTTCTTAAAAATTAGTTTTGTTTTTATTCTTAGATTTTGGTTCTTTAAATTTGCTGCAGCAATTGCAATTATTATTGGAGCATTCTTCATTCCAGAAGGAACTTTTACAACTGGTAAGAATGTTTTTAAAAATTATGTGATCCTGGGGCTCGATAGATGGCTCAACAGTTAAGAGTACTGTGACTGGGGTGCAGTTCCCAGCATTCACATGGACAAGTGTCCTTAACTCCAGTTCCAGGGAATCTAGGGAATCCAGCTCCATGGGCATTGCATGACACCAGTGCAATAATACACTTACACACATACAATTATAATAAAATGTTAAAAAATTATATGATGATGATTTTTAAAGGAAAAGATAATTGTTAACTAGAGTTATAATTCTTCATTTTTTAATGTTTTTTTCCCTCATTGCAAAATCAAGGAATATACATACAATTTTATTTTTTAAAATATGCTCCTTTTTCTTACAGTGTGGTTTTATGTGGGCATGGCAGGTGCCTTCTGTTTCATCCTCATACAGCTAGTCCTGCTCATTGATTTTGCCCATTCTTGGAACGAATCTTGGGTTGAAAAAATGGAAGAGGGGAACTCAAGATGTTGGTATGCAGGTAAGCTTTTTTTTGGTTCCAATTTCTGGTGAAGAAGTTTTCAAGTTTGAGTAGCATCATATCAAACTGTGTCAGCAACTTGTTAAAAAAAACATGACATATTAAGTAAAAATATACTTAGGAACTAGGAAAAAATCCAGAGGAACTTGAATAGCTAAAATGAATGTTCAAAGTTTGTTGCTTCAAGCATGTATTTTGTGACCTAATTTCCTACCCAGCAGTAAGCTAAAGTGAAATAGAAGGAGAAACGAAGCAGACTACTATAAGTAGATGTAGAGCTATATAATTCAGAAACATCATCAAAACCTTGAAACACTATGGGGACTCCTGTGGTAGTGTAATTATTTATTTATAATAATAAGCTTGAGTCAGTTGTTTATACCTAAAAACATGGATCAAAATTCAAGTGATTACAAGGGCAAAATAGGTAAACAAAGTAACATAAAAGGCTGATATCTAAGTGAATCTCATGATGAATTGCAAAGCGTGAGTGCCCTATGAAACTACATAGCTGCTGCTCAGCTTCATGTCAGTGCTCCTGAGAACCCATTATTGAATCTTCTCAAAATTTTATATAAAATTATCTAAATTTGAGCTAGGAAAAAAATTTAAAAAATAGTACATGCTAGTGTCAATCTGCTGGCTTGATTTTTCTTGGTGTTTAATCTTAGTAGTTAAGGAGCAATAGAATTTAGTGGTCAAAGGACTAAGTTTTAGTCATTTGGAAACTAAACTCAGCCTCATTCTTTAATGAAAAAAATCTAGTGCAAGGGTTTTTGTCTGTTTTGTTCCCTGCCGTATCCAGGGCCTGAGCTGTGGTAAGCATTCAGTGAGTAGTAACTGGTGGATGGATCCCTGTTCATTGAGGCAAATTGACATAATACCTACACGTTAAGCACAGATTAGCTCAAGAATTATTGCATGTTCGCTATGTTGACTTTGACATGAGTTGTGGTTGCCTTATTAAAACTGTCTTATGCTGGCATAATACGTGTTTTCTTAAGAGTTAAGCTGGTGAGGAAAGGCATCAGTTTTGTGAGCTCAGCATTAACAATGAACTTAACTTTGTTTCTTTCTGCCATTTTAAAAAACAGTTATGATTATGGTTCTTTAGCACCATTAAGTAATATCCTCTAGTTATCTTTATTTTTAAAATGCGATGAATGTGGTTTGTAAACTATGTAATATAGATATTCCTACTAATAAAAATACTACTATGTTGCTAGGTTATTGTCCTTAGAAATATATAATAATGAGCCATACATAGGTTATAGTATTTTTCAGTAACATAATTCATGATTTTCCTTCCTGCTTTTCTAGCCTGCATAATGCTAATATTAGTTGCTTAAAATGAAGATTTATTTTAAAACAAATTCCATGTTGCATTCCTAGTATTTGCTCAAAATCTAATAATTCTCCTGTGTTTCTTTCACAGCCTTATTGTCAGCTACAGCTCTGAATTATCTCCTGTCTTTAGTTGCCATCGTCTTGTTCTTTGTCTACTATACTCACCCAGCCAATTGTTCAGAAAATAAGGCGTTCATCAGTGTCAACATGCTTCTCTGCATCGGTGCTTCTATCATGTCCATACTGCCGAAAATCCAAGTATGCACTTCCAAGCACTAGTTATTATGAATGGCTTACCTTTCCAGATTTCCATAAATCATGAATAATGCCAGATACTTATCTGCATTAATATTTTGTTTACAGGAATCACAACCAAGATCTGGCTTATTACAGTCTTCAGTAATTACAGTCTACACAATGTATTTGACATGGTCTGCTATGACCAATGAACCAGGTACATTTATTTGTGATTTATTTTTTTATTTTATGTGTATGAGTGTATTGTCTACATGTGTGTTAGGTGCACCTGTGTTATGCAGTGCCCATGGAGATCAGTAGAGGGTGTCAGAGCCCATGGAACTGGAGCTATGGATGGTTGTTAGCCACCCTGTGGGTGCTGGGAACCAAACCCAGGTCCTCTGCAAGAGCAGCCAGTGTTCATAATTGTTGAACCATCTCTCCGGTCCCCATTTTATTTGTATTATAATGAGTCATGCACCATTACTTTTTATTGAAAATTGATTATTTTGGGATGCAGTTACTTAATAATGAGGCTGGTAGAATAAACCCACTTCTTCATTGATGTGTTGCTGTTTTTTATTTTCACTTAGTTTATTCACTAATGAAATGATTTGATCTAAGAAATTATAAGAAAATTATAAGAAATATACCTTATTTTCACATAAGATTTATGTAAGAAGAAATGAAATCTTTTCAGATTCTTCTGTTTTGTTTGAGACACAGTTATCACTTTGTAGCCCAGGCTAGCCATGAACCTTTGACAGTCCTCCTTCCTTAGCTTCCAAAATGCTGAGATCACAGTTATGAACCACCACACTTGGCTTTCAATACTTACTTGATTATAAATCAAATTTTTCACATTGTCACATTATCTTTTTTGTCTCTATCTTAAAATAGAACATAAGGCTATATTTGGACTGTGTAATGAATCTCTGTACTCCATTTATAGTGAATTCTCTGGGAAATAGAAGCCAGTTTGGAGGTACAAAGAAAATACTGTTTTTAAAAAAGGAAGAACATGTTCTCTTGTCTTAAAAAAATATATGTATGTAGCTGGGCATGGTGGCTCACGCCTTTAATCCTAGCATTTGGGAGGCAGAGGCAGGCGGATCTTTATGAGTTCGAAGCCAGCCTGGTCTACATAGTGAGTTCCAGGACA